TGACCTATTTTGGACCATTTGAAATCAAATAAGTTTGACAATTTCTGGAATTAACCTGAAACTCGAAGCGCTGAATCATTTTGAGCTATTATGATAATTATTATTCTTTACTCATGCTGTAGTAATAAGAATATTTATTCAATTTAAAAAAATTAATGTCAACTTATTTTTAGATTGTTATTGTAAAATTTTGAGTGTATGATTTTTTAATATGCATTACATCAACTGAACTGGAGAGAAAATTGAAGACCTATTTGTTTTAAAAGGACAAATGAGAGGAAAAATATACATATTAGAGAAATGAAAAAAAATAAAATTTGATATATTACGATTGAATACCACTGAATTGGGAATGACCTAAAATTTTAGATTAATACGAGATCTGTTATTATATATAATTAATAATAAATAATATAATTTTAATGAATTTATAATTTTTGGCCAAGAGGGTAATGAATTTTATATTAAGCTATAAAGAATATTTATAAACAAAGTTTTTTTAATTATATAGAATAAAAAAATATTACAAATTTCAATTTTTAGCCACGGAAGGAGTGGTTGAGGGTAGAGGTGTAAAATGGTGGAAAAGGTTGCCGAAGCATCTTTATTTTCTTTCGTGTTCAGTGTCAAGTAAGGGGTAAGGTGAAAGCAATGTCAAATGACTAAAGTGCCCATAATGGTAAAAGTGAATTTAGATTTCCTGCAGACCATAAGGTAAAAAATGTTCACATTGTTTTGTATTATGGGAAAATTTCTCTCATGTAATATACAAGTAATTTAAATACATAAAATTTTTATAGAATCGTAAAATTATGTTGAAGTTTCATATTTTTTATTGAAATTGTCAACCACTGCTGGATTTTTTTTTTTGTTAAAAGATAATTATTAATCATTATTATTATTATTATTCAATTGTCATCTGAATAATTCCACTAACGATTTTCAATAATAAGCTATTTTAATAAAATAAATTGATAATTTCAGAAAAACATATAAAATATGAGGATAATTTTTTCATTTTATTGGACTTTTATACATTTAGATTACTAGAAAAAGACTTTTGCTCCAAGATTTTTCTGTGTATGGTTATTAAATTTTTGTGAACAGAATATTTCTTTATTCCTTTAAGCCAAGTGAAGAGAGAGTAGCATCTTCCATTCCTCATGAATTATATGACCTGTTTGGATAACTTTTAAAAGCACATTTAAATTATATTTAAAATGTGTTATTACCAAATCTAATTAGTTAATCTTCTAAATAATCTTTTACCATATATAAACTAAAAACCAAACACATACTTAATCAAAATCACTTCACCATTCACTAATATCATTTGCAACTCTAATTAACAATTAGGAGTAACCGTCCAAACAAAACAAAGTTTGAGGACTCAATAAAAAAGTAAAAAAAAAAATATATTGTAATGACCTACTTAAATATTAGATAAAAATTTTGGGATTGGGAGATTAATTTTTCTCTTTATTTTATTCATAATAAATTCATCTCTCTCCAACAAGACTTTAGCGGATGAGGGGAGTGGTTGAAGTTGAAATCAGGTTAAAGTAGATAGAAATTATTATTATTATCATAATTATTTTTCTTTTTTGCTTTTTTGCCCCTTTTTTCTTTTTTTCTTTTGACTGAATGAGTAGTTCACTTATTTGGTAGTTAAAGGGATTGGATAGGTTTGGTTAACTAACCAGCCTTTGCCCTTTGGTGGCCTTCTGTCTTCCTTTTTCTGTTGTGGGTGAAATATGATAATGAAAGAAAATGACGTTTAAGTATCTATTATAATACATTAATCACGTTTAAGAAATTTTAAAATTAAATTAAAATTTTGAGTATAATAAAATGATCCTTCCAAGTTTGCTAAAGTTACAAAGATTTTTCTCTGTTTTCAAAACCTATATTTTTTTCTATTTTTTAACATGTTAGGTATATTCCATTTAAGATTCTAAAATACTTTATTATATTAATTAAAATCTGTGGAAAAATTAAAATCATTAATTTTCCCTCATAACGTCTTCTCTCCCCTCCTATTTCTAAGAATATTATGGTTATATTTACATAAACATTTACAAAATATTAAAATTAATACACATAAATTATATTAAAATTAATAAAATAAGTATAAAATTTATTCATTAATTTATCTCTCATTATATTGAATTTATAATTATTTTTTTCCATTAAATTTTCTAATTCATTAAACTTTTGTTACTATATGTTTAAAATATTATTTTTGGCAATTTATATATTTAAAATTTAAAAAGAAATTACTCTCTTCATTTAAAAATACAAGACATTTATGAATCTCACCCCAAAATAAAGTAGTTACTTGTCTTTCAACTAAGTTTATTTTTTCATATTTATCCCTATTTAGTAGAGTGTTTTACCCTAAAATAAATATAAAGTGATTTATTCAATAGAGGTATTTTTGAAAAAAAATAGACAATAATTATATTTTAAAAAATTAAAAATATTTTATATTTTTTAACATCTAATCCCTCAAAAATTACTTTACATTTTTTAAATAGAAAGAGTGTATTATAACTAAGTTTATATAAATGACTCTTAAAATCATATATTGTATAAATAAGTTTATTTATATTAAATATTATTTTTATCAATTTACATATTATAATTATCGTTTAAAAACTTAAATGACTTTTGAATAACATTTATGTTAAAGAAGGATATTTTACTTCAAAATATATGATTTAATGGCTAATTAATGGTTGAATTGATAGAAATAGATATAAGATACTCCATTCATTAAAAAATATATGGTATTTTTAATTGAATCTTATTTTTAATAAATTAGTTTCTTATCTTTATACTAGCTATATCTTTCCATGTTTACACTTATTTAATAAGTGTTTCGCCATAAAATAAATATAAAGTGATTTATTTAATAGGGGCACTTTTGAAAAAAAAATTAATGAATATACCTTAAAAAATTAAAAATGTCTTATATTTTTAATACCCAACCCTTTAAAAAATACCTTACATTTTTTGATAGAGGAGTATGTATTATGTAAATATTGATTTCAGGTTTATATAGATTTTAAAAATAGAAGTGAGATCTCTATAATTAAAGTAAAATATGAGATATTGGTGTATTTTACTCTAAAATTTTTGTGAAAGATCTAGATTCTTTTGCATATGAAAATCAAGATTACTGCATATACTTTTCAAATTTATTATTTTTATTTTTCTAAACCACAAATTTAGGAGCTTGTATTTTTCTTTCCTTTTTCCTTTTGGCCAAAGCTTGTATCATACTCTTCGAAATACTAGTAAGTGTTATTATAGATTTTGCATATTATATTAATATTGATGACATGCACGATTTATTAAAAAAATTTAATTTTTTATTGAAATTTATAATAACTATTTGTCAAAGGGATAAATTGTATGACTTAACTTAAAATTATGTTCTTTTACCTAAAATACTTTGATGATAATTTTATGGGATAATAAAATTTTAATCCCTCGAGTTTGCCTCAATTATCATTTTGGTCTCCCAAGTTTAACTTTTATAAATTTGGTCTCTTATTTTTTTTTTTAATTATCATGTTAACCCCTTATATTTTCCAATTAATTTAATACATAAAGTATTTTGAAAACATGTAAATGTAGTTAAATAAAAACAAATTGTATGTCTTATAATTATGTTATGTTGGCACGGCTTGTGAGACTGTTCTCCTTGAAGCCCGAGTGGTTTGGGCTCTCAATCTGAATGCTCAAACTTCATAGCTTTCGAGTTTCACCACGTCAAACCCGAGCGGTTTGTTCCACTGTCATCCCTATGTTTTTGTTAATCTCCTCTTGTTGTTTTATAATTGAACAATTGGGCCAATAACACCATTAGACAAATCTTGCTTTGATAGAATCTTACAACAACTAGTGGGATCGTGTTTAATGAAAAAGATTAATTCTTCATAATATGATCGAACTAATATTCAAATTTTTGATAAAAAAATTCTCATATTTAATGTTTGACAGTACCTTAAATAAAATTGCCTTCAATTACAAGATACATGTGGGTAAAATAAGAAAGAAAGAAAAAATCCTACACTTTGGCGGTGGCTCTATAACACGACCTTCGAGCGTGAAGAGCGAGCTAGTTGGCACATATGTTTTAAATGAATAGTCCCCAAATCTATTGAGAAATATGGAACGTTATGTGGCTTTTTTTCTTGTATATATATAGGCATGTGATATTATAAAGTCCTCTTTTAAATTGAGAATATACCCTTGTCTTTCTATAGTCTTTGGTTCTAAATACATAGGATCAATCCACAATCGTGTATTGAGATTTAAGATGAAATTATTTGAGACTTATAATATATTGTAATTTATCTCTTTTCATATCATTTTTCTACATTTTTGAGTTGCATAATCATATATTATAATCCTGTGATCATACAATTCTAACATTTCACTCTTAATAAATAATATAATTAATCCATTATATTTAATCTATTACGTCAAATGATTGATTTTAAATAAGATTTAAACAATTTTTATTTCAAAAAACTTCTTTTAATACTGTAAATAACATTCTATAGGAAATAATATATGTTTTTGAAAAAGAGTCTAATTTTTTAATATAGTTCAATATTTCAATTGGAATGTTAATTTCTTCAGTTGACATTTAATTATAAAAATATATCAAAACACTGTTACAAAATTTGCTATTTAACTCTAAAACATTCCTCACTTGTCATTTTCCTCTAACAAGATGGTTCAAATACTTAGACTTGTTAACATACTTGCGTGTTAAAACAGGTTGGTTACTTGATTTTTTCCGAATGGTTCATTCGACTTTATTTCCTTTCCACTTGCAGGTTTTTTTTTTTTTTTGGTTGTCTTTGCTTCTTCAATCTTAATGAAACGTCAAGGACTGGAGAGCGAATTCAGAATTATTTTTTCCTTTTTCTAAATTTAAACGCTATTTTTTCTTTGGGCATAAATTAATGTAAACCCGTATTGTATTATGTAGAGAGACAGAGAGGATCTTAATATATAAGGACGAAACTTGTAAAGTTTATACGCATAAGAGCATATTCTGAACACATACAAATAAAACCTTATTTATTTGTTACACATGCAAACCAATATTGTTCCCTTTCAAGTACACTACAAGGGTTATTACAAATGATTATGGCAAGACAAATTAAAGAATTAGAACCAATGAACATGTGGTGTGAAAGAAACAACAACAAACATCAACAGAATAGAGGCATAATAATAAAACAACTAAACAAGTGAAATTCATAGAGCAGAGGTGAAAGGCACATTAGTAGCAGGAATCCATGAGTTTCCACCAATGAAGTTAGCAACAGTGAACTTTGAAGCTTCCGAAGCACTAGTAATCACACGGTAACCTGACCACTTAACTCTATTTGCTGTTGATGAACCTGGACCCGTGTTCATATACTCTCCATAATATAAAGTGTTCAAGGCAAAGTTACCACTCCATTCCATCCAACCAGCCTGGTTTATCAAGCCATCAAGATAAGTCTTCATAAACACTGTTCGAGAATATTGTTTCCATGGCCTTCCAAGATAGGTTTTTACAGAGTTCTGAACTGGTTTTAGATCTGAGGCAGCTGTAACCCTACAATTGTGGATGGAAATTCCAGTGTTTTGGTTCGGATCCGTTCGACCTTGGGCCGTGATCGTGTTGACTTTGTTTGGAGGGTTTCTGGCAAAAATGTTGCAGTTTTGGAAAACTGCTGCTGCATTTCCAAAGATGAAATCCACAGTGCCATAAATGTTACATTCTCTGTAGAATTGTCTATCAGAGTGAACATATAATGTGTCTTGGTAACCTTCAAAGCTACATCTGTAGAAAACAGATAAATCTGATCCAGAACGAAGTGCCACGGCTTGATGGTTCGATGCTCCAGCAGTATTCCTAAATGTTATGTCTCGAGCAATAAACCCATCTCCTACGACAGCTACAATAACAAGATACAATGGAACAGTTTAGGGTCAATTTGTTTAATAAGCTTTAAGATTAAAAAAAAAAATGAGTGGGTTTTAGATATTTTAGAGGCTTTATAAAAAGAAATATATGGTGGAAAGATTTCACATAGGGAAGGTATCTTTGTGTATCTCCGTTCATAAAAGAAGTTTTTTATTCATTTAGTATTATTTTTGAATTCTATGAAATATTTTTGTGTGTATGACTATGTTTCTATGATTATGAAACTCTTTCTTATCTGGCATATTTGAATATTTTCAAAAGTTGCTTAAAATTTCTTCTCAAAGTCATTAAAAAAAACTACATTTTTTCCTTATGTTGATCATTTTTAGGAGTTTAAAAAATCATTTTAATTTTTCCTCCAAACATGTATAAGTGATTTGTTCAAGAAAAAAAAAATTAAACAACCATGCCTTTAATTTCTCAACTGATTGATCAACTATTTATGACTCCCTCCGATTTGTAAGATATTGAAAAATATAAGGAATTTTGAGTTTTTCAAAGTGCATTTAATGTGTTTTGTCCAAAAACACCCTTAATTAGGGGTATAGTTAATTAATAACATTTTCTAATTGAGATACCTTATTAAATAAAAATAAATATAAAAAAAGTGCAATTTTGAAGACAACTAATTAATTTTTTGAGGGTGTAATTCAATTAAAAAATCCTTAAAATTATTAACAGAGGAGCTTAGACACAATTTTCTTACCAACAGTAGCAGATCGGAAGGTTGTGGTGCCTCCTCCAACACTTTTGCTTCCAGTGATTATAGTCTTCCCAATACCATCTCCCATCAACATGATATTCTTTGCCTTTATCTCAACCTGTTCATTGTAAATCCCAGCTTTCACGTATATCGCATATCTCCCACTGTTACTCTTTGGTGCAGCATTTATAGCAGCACTCAAAGTCGTGTACTTGCCAGACCCATCTTTAGCCACCACAACGTTAGCCTTAGTAGCTGTAGAACTAGAAGATCTCTGCAATAGCTTCCTATCACCAGGCTTCACCCATGTTGGGAACCCATCTTTATTATAGTAACTCGGTTCATCTTCTTGATATTGAACCTTATTTAGAGCCAAAGTGTTGCTCAGAAGCTTGGTAACGTTGTTAGACATCAAGGGCAACACGTAGTCTTGAACCCCAAGCTCGTAGAACCCGGCCCGGCACGTGTCGAGGTTGGTGACAGCTGCGCTGAGCCATGTTTGAGCATCAGCTTTGGAGCATTTTGTGTTGGGGTCTAGGGTTTTGTTGAGTTTCTGAATGGCTTGCTCGTAAAGCTCAATGCAATCAGCCCATGCAGCTTTCTCACGTGAGTTTCTGCACTTAGGGCCTAATGAGAGAGTTGTTGCATGACCTTTCAAGGCTCGCTCTTGGGCAAGTTGAAGTGAAAGTTTGAGAAAATCATCTTTGTGTTTGATGATAATCTTCTGGTTGTGAATTTGATTGTTGTTGTTCAGGAAATACTCACATGGTTGAGGATTAGGTGTTTGGTTGCACCAAACCTTAACATTATTAAATGAGTACCCGGAAACAGACGAGCAAAACAGAAATAAGGGAACAAACACAAGGGTTATGACGACGATGACTAAGCGAAAAGCTGCCATACTTACAGCTTTTGAACTATAATTCTGATATATGGTCTGTGAACAATTTCAATGAAAGAAAAGTAGAAAGATAGAGAAAAGGATTTTTGGTTTCCAGTGTTTGGATGGGTTTCGATGTTGTGAGTGGCGTGCCTTTATATAGAAGAGGAGAAGAAGATGATTGAATTGTTGGCATTAAGATAGCTCTTCATGAGAACGCATACTTTTTTTGTCTTGTCGTAATGGTTTTCGTTTTCCCCTTTGCATGCATATGCTTAATTATTATTTGATTAATATGATCCATTGTACTATGTTACGTTGTTTGTTCATGATGAGCATCTTTGTCTTTGACTTTTACGTGCGTGGCACCTATCTTGAATTGACTTTTCTTCCTTTCTTTAAGCATAGCTGGTGCCTGGTGAAAACGTGTTAAGCAGTACGTCTACTGTTTTGGTATAATTTGATGGATGCTAATAGTATTTGAATCAATGAAGATCATAGGATTTGCATTGGCCACTCAACGAGCATCTCAAGAAACACACTGACAACTATTTGATTTAATTAAATAACTGTAAGAGATTTTGTTGTAGAATAAATTTAAAAAGTATCAAATTTCAGATTTTTAGAAGGAACAGCAATTATGAGGAGTGCTTTTCTGATTGATCATAGATATCCTTATATTAAAGACAATTATATTTAAAATACTGTTATGTACTCCTTTCAATTAGAATTTGAACCTTTTTAGAAGGAGCAGCAATTATGAGGAGTGCTTTGTTCATGAATATTGTTGTTTTGAATTTTTGAAAAAAAATATATTTTGATAATGTTTAAACAGTGATAAAATGCAATAGTTATAATTGAAATGCTCATTGAATAAGTGGATTTAAGTTATTCATCAAATCTAGATCCATACAATTGAATTGAATATTTAATTAGCTAGTTTGATAAGATGACTTGAAAATTTTCAGTTTTATGAAAATAAATGTGGGGAATAATCTCATTTTTTTCGATTGTGTATAAAATAAAATAAAAAAGAAAGAAAAAGAAAAGAAAAAAATAAAAGAGAAATTCTTATATCAACTCAATGCACCATGTCATTTATATAATATCGAATAAAAACATGTTATGTAAAATTCATTTAAATGTATGTGTTATTCCTCACTGATACATATCACTTTAAATTATTTTAATTTATTGGCTTTTTTCTCTCCCCTCTAATGATAGAGAGATAAAAGGTACTCCCTTTAGTCTAAAATATAAATTGCTTTTAACAATAATTCAATACCAATAAAATTTTTATTCTTATAAAAATATATAATTTTTTTTTTACCCTCAGCTTCAATTTATGACGAGTGAGAAGAAGATTATAAATTCATAATCACAAGAATTCTTGTTAAAATATAAGGGGTGAAATAAGAAAAAATTTCTTATAAATATTAAATTACATATATTTTGAATCAAAATTAGTTGGGAGAAAATGCTTATATTTTAAATCAAAAGAATAAGAAATTAAAGAGATACTATATTAAAAAAACCATTAAAAATGACAATATATAGAGAATTTTATTTGATTTAACCGATACAATTTTATTGGATAGAGAATAAATGAAATGTTACTAACGGTACATTCAAGAATTTCTAGAAAATGAACATAATATTTCCTAATATTTAATTGATGATGTTGGAATAATTAATGAGTGAAAATCCAATTGTGAAGAAAGTAATTAATGATTTGACTTTCAAATCAAGAAGCTCAGAGTTATTGTTATTGACTTTTGAATCAAGTGGCCCAGCCATCAGCTGATCAGAGAATTCCAAGTGCGCAATGGGGTTACTTGCGGCCCGGTATTGACTGCAGAAGATGCTGATGCTGATTTTTTTCATGAATTCTAAAAGTTTGTTCAGGAAAAAAACATTTAAAAAATGTTATTTTTATGTTAAAAATGTTCACATTTTCATTATTTTTAATTATTAATTTGATTAACATATTATGAAATTAGTTATCTTGATTCTTTTAAAAAAAACAGTCTTTAAATATAATTTTTTCTAAAATTTTGATATTTGCATATCACATTTTTAATTATAAAAAATTGAATTTATGCGAAAAAATATGATTGCATCCTCTGCAGTCAATATTGTGACTGTCTGCAGAGGGCCTCTTGTGGCACCCATTAAGAAAAGTTTGGTTTCAATAAAAATGAAAATGAAATTTTCAATTTATATTTTTAATTATTAATATAAATATTCATAATTTTTTTGGATTGCATGCAATATTCTCCTGTTGAAGGCAATCTCACCTTAAATATGGTGGGATACTAAAGATGATTATTACAATTTTTTAATTTTATATTTTTATTAATATTTATAATCATTATTTTAATTAATATTTCCAATAACTACAAATCTACTATGTATGTGAAAAAATGAACATGCTTGTAAATAATAAATAATACTACAGGAAAAACGAAGCGGCTGACTCTTTTTCTGGGAAAGTTTCAGACTTCTAAATCAAGTTGTTAAAGCATTGCTTGCAAACCAAAGGATCCAAACAACTGTTTTAGGTAATTATCATTGGAGTATTTATTACTATAATTATTGTCATCATCATCTTCATCATGAAGGAAATTTTTTTCCAAGCATAACATTTTAATAGTGCTCCCTCCTCACAAATACCAATAAAATTTATTAAATACATCATATAATTTTATGTTTAAAAATAAAAATATAAACATTTAAAAATGTCTTTCATTTAATATTTTATTTATGAACTAAAAAGAATATAATAGGCAGGATAATATTAAAAAAAACACTATCAATGAAACCTTTTTCTGTCAAAATGTTTTATGTTTTGAGATACCAAATCTCTTTAAAAAAATGTCTTATAATTTAATAGGGAGATAATATAATATAAAAATCACTGAAGGACATAAAATTGTATTTCGAGAGCATAACAGTTAATCACAAATAGAGTCATTTAATTATAGCGAAGGTCTTGATGAATATGCTAAAAGGAAATTAAAATGCTTGAAAACCCCTTTACAATTTGCAGTTAGTTAGAGCAACTAAATAGGGTGGTTAGCTTAATTAAGTCTTAGGGCTCAATAAAAATTATATTTAAAATACTTAAACATATTTAAAAAAGACTTATATAGCCAGGCACATTCTTAAAAACTCTAGTTATTTGAGCCAGCCCGAATGCGCAAATAACTAGTTCTTTTTTATTTTATTTTTTAAAGCCAATTTTAATTTTTATCCTAGAAATTTAAGAATTTTCAGGTAACATAATATTACAAGATTACTTTTTTCCCTATCCTTGTTACTGTGACACCAAGTATTAAAGAAATAAAATGAAAGGCAGAATTAACCTCTTGTATTTTAATTTTTCTTAACACTTTAAAAAAAGATTCAAAAACAAATTATTGAAAAATTAAAACGTTATTTAAAAATGTAAAATATGTAGGAAGTGCAAACTAGGAGAGGGAAAAAAAAGTAAGGCAATGACGTAACAGTCAAAACGGCAATTACGTAATTGCCATTTTAGTTTTCGGATAATGATAATTTTTGAAACTAAGACGTGGTGCTTTTGATGGAAGCCTGTGTGCTTGTTGGCATTCACAATGTCAAATCATCATCAAGAAGAAGATAAAGTTGTCATTCTCAACTTAAATGTCATTTTCCCTTGTGCCTCCTTGTCTCTGTGTTGGCAGATACAACATCCATCTACCAAATCTCTTTTTAATTATTCCTTTCCTTAACACTATACATATATTAAAGAGGCCCTTAATCTCCATAGGTATCATTATATCAATATGTTACTGTTACCGGTCGATATTACCAAAAGCATAAAATATAGATAAAAAAGTCTCATGAAATATAAATTCGAATTAAACATAATTTCTGATCATGATAATAAATATATTTATGGAGCTCAAATCTGATTTTTGATTGATTTATATCATTATTTATCTATGATTTGCAGCAATCAGTTCAAGAACATTAAGGCTTGATAGTTACTCCATACTTTTAGGCTGTGAATATGTTCAGCATTGATACAAAATGTAATAATCTTTAGGTTTTTTTTTAAGCTAAGGAATAATTTTACGAGGAGAATAATGTGTGGCAAGTTTTTTTTTTTTTTTTTTGGGCAACAATGTGTGGCTAGGTTGATGAAAAGCATATTCTTCGTCCTTTGGATTTTAATGAGGGAACTATTATTTTCCTTAAAGTATATTGATAGGCCAATAATAACCCTCTAATCAATTTATTCACTTCTTTATATATATATATATATATATAATTTAGGTAAGTTAGGTTTTAAGGGCTCATCATTAAGGTCAGAGCATGACTCTACACTCAAAATACCTACCAATAAGGTTTTCTCATGGGCATCAAGATTTGCTTCTATAACCTTGTGGATTATAGACCAAATTTTAACTAATTAGATCCACTTTTGTTAGTCTAATTAATTAGCTTCACTTTTTTCAAAAACACATTAATTAAATTACAACCTTTGTTGTTTATAATTTTATAAATTTTTATTTTGATAATAAGATATTTAAAATAAAGATAATCTTTTAACATTCACTTGCCAAAAACAATAGTTTTTTAAAAATTTACAAGTTAAAAAATTTAAACATGAACCATTTAAAATAAATATGTATAGTTAATTTATGAAAAAAAAAAATTAATATTAAATTTAGACCATTCACATTAATTTTGGGCGACCTAAATTGTTGATCTAACAATTTATTAAATTCCTTTATAATTTTATGAATTTTTATTTTAATAAATATAAAATAAAAATAAAAAAAGCTTTAAATATGAACCATCCATATCTTATCATGGGACAAAGGAAGGGCATTAGAGGGGGAGTTCAAAGGAGAGAAGCTGAGTCCCGTGGAGAATGCCCCGTCAGGTTACTTAAATACTAATGAAATGCCAAAAAAAATTATCAAGTTAGCCCAAACAAATCTTTATGATGTGCTCATATTTAATACTTGCTGATTTGCTAGCAACACACTTATATGAAATAGGATTGCCTTTGATAAGAACACGCCTATATGCAATAAAAAAATAATTTTTATTGGCACAGTAACAACAAAAGAAGAACTT